TTAAAAATATTGACTCTTCCTTCCTTATTTATATTTGAATCCGTTTGCCTAATACGTAAACATGTATCAGCTTCTCAAGAAAGGCCATCTCACACTTATCCACTCAGGAACGCGGAGCAAGATCTTTATCTACCTACCCCACGCTCAGAGTTAGTTAAAAGTTAAGTTATACAACTTCAATAAAAATGCACAAAAATGCCATTTGAAATCAAATCCATAACATCATTTTTTTCATTTCGCAAAGCATTGAACTCTTATTTACTAGACAAGGCTTTCTACGCCGTAAATGAATTATATTTGAATTGAAAATCGAATTTGATCTTGAAAACACTGGTCTAATGTTTGCTATTGCTATATTTACTAATGACATCGAAATTAACTTATTTAGAGGTCATTGATATTTTGCTATAAACTGGCTAAATATTTTTGAAGATTGTTTTAAATTTTTTGTTCTTTGACATTGTAAACATTTATAAATGTTTATTTTAACAATAAGACTGACAATATTATTTATATAATGTTTTGTATTATCTTTTGTTTGTTTGTTTGTGTACCTAGTTTTTTTTCTACTTTGTTTGTTAGTTTACCTTTGTCTACAAATTGAAAAATTTTTTGACAATAAAGGCATTTATTTATTTATTTATTTATTTATAATTTAAGTAAAATTTGACATTGGCGTTTGTTCTTATCTTGAATTTATTTTTTTTTCTAAAATAACTTCTTAAATTATTAATCCTTTCAACAACTGCTCCCCTATTTGCTTCCGAATTAATGTTTTTTTTTTGGGTTTTCTACCATATGAAATGTTCATCAGCTGCGGGTTTTCTTATTCTTGTGACAATACTCCTTATTTTTTATTTTCCGTAAATTTGGCATGCTTTTATATAGCTCAATAAATTGCCATAAAAACTATTACTACACCGATATACACATCAGCATTTTGTTTCCAGTTAATAATAATAGATTAAAAATATCTAATCTATGGACTGTAAATACATACGAACTGAAAAAAAAATAAGTAACGGATTTTAGCAAAAAAATATATTATTTAAAAAGCTGTATTGTTACTAAACCCTTGCTTGTAATTCACTGGAGAAAACTAAAATTAAACAAAAACTAAAAATATTGGGCGCTAAGCAAGATACAGAAGAAATCGCAATTGTAATTATCGAGATGATTCCTAATTATCATAAGCATTATAATATTATGTTAGGTTGTTATTAAAAATATTTGTCAGATAAAATTAAGTTAAAATGATGATTATGTTAATTAAAAAAAAAATCTAGAAAATTATAATATAAACTGCCCGTCAAATTAAATACCTCAGCGATTTTTTTACTCGTTTTCAACGAGTTGTAACTTTGAAAAAAAGGAACCAATTTTGTTGATTTTTTTAGCATATTAAAGATTGTTTTTCGTAGATTGATCTTATTCTCCTAAATTTTGTATGAGATTTAGTTTTCTATGATATATAGGGTGTGAAAAAAAGGAATGTAATTTTTGTGTAGCTGCCATTTTGCCAAAAAAAAATTAACTTGAATTATAAGTTCTGGGTATAGCTAAGACTAATATCTCGGGACGTATTTGGATTTTTTACGATAACTCATCTGGCATAAAAGATAATCAATGTTTACTCTAGCTTGTATTTTTTCTACCTTCGCCTACACGATTTTAACTTTAAAAATCATATTGAATAATTTGATGTATTTTTTAAATTCTTTTTAAGCACTTTAAGTTGCAGCTAAACTACAGATTTTTAGAGAAAAAAAGAGTTTTTACAAAAACATCAAATACGTGTCGAGCTTTTATATTAATCTTATGGGCTGTTAAGTTCAGAATATTAAAAAAATAATTTTTCTTTTTCACTGGTCGTATTTTTAAGAGATCTTGTATTAAATTGCGTGAGTTAAATTTTTTTTTTCATTTCACATTGTAAAAGTAACGAATATCCTACAATATTAAAGTTAATTTCAGTTTTGTTAGCATATCTCTTAAGAAAGGTAGAAGAAATACAAGTTATAGTAAAAATTGATTATCATTTATTCCAGATGAGTTATCGTAAAAATTCCAAATACGTCCCGAGATATTAGTCTTAGCTATACCCAGAACTTATAATTCTAGTTATTTTTTTTTGCAAAATGGCAGCAACACAAAAATTACATTCCTTTTTTTCACACCCTGTATATCATAGAAAACTAAATCTCATACAAAATTTAGAAAAATCAGATCAACCTACGAAAAACGATCTTTGATATGCTAAAAAAATCAACAAAATCGGTCCATTTTTTTCAAAGATACAACTCGTTGAAAATGAGTAAAAAAATCGCTGTGGTATTTAATTTGACGGGCAGTTTAGTTACAAATATTGAAAATAAAAAGGAAGTAGTATTACTTTACTTAAATATTAATTCCTATACGATGTTAAAAAAATTAAAGCGATCACAACGAATGATAAATTCTCGAATTTGTGTTACGCGTATTGTATATAGTAAAGACATACAACATACAGAGCGAATCTTAAATAAGTGCAAATATTATCGGCGCTGGTAGATCTCGAAATAAGCAACATATATTCAAAGTAAAAGTCAAAAATAACCAAGTTATTTTACTTTAAAAATTTCAAAAAAATTAATGTTGAGAACTGCTAGATATTTTCTAGGTTTTCTTTATTTAAACTACTACCTATATTGCCATATTACCAAGAAATTATGTTTTTTACAAAAAAAACTAATTATTTTCAAGATGTTCCAAATTTTGATATTTTTTGTGAAAAAAAAATTATAACTATGTTTCTGGGGTCGAAATACCACCCCAAAAAATATTTACACTTATTACACAAGACTCACCCTGTATATTGAAATGGAAATTTTAAATTAAATCATACTTTTTTAAATGTCAAACTGACAGAATAAAAATATTACTTTAATAAAAACTAGCCAACAGGTAATTTAAGACTGAAAATATTGCGATTGAAATATATGCTATTGATAAATTTACATGTGAGGTTGAGACATTACTGTACGATGTTCGTTCCAAAAAAGATTGCTCCAAGCAGTGGCAGCAGCTTGGAGCAATCTTGGGTCAAGCATCTCTACACTCTTCCAGCGTACATCATAGACCGAAACACGGAAACTGTGGTCAATAAAAAAGGGACATCCAGATTGAATACAGCCATGCTTATACTACAGATTAATCCTCAAACTATGCATGGCTCTAAGACACCCAGGAGGTTTTAAGTTTTTACGGGAAGAACATGAAGGCCTAAGACCGGGACCCCAAAATAACGCGAAACTAAAAATGTATTCTTGTTTGAAAAAAACTATAAACTGAGCTCGAAACAATTCGAAGGTTTCCATGATAAGTGAATCCAGGTTTTCCTCTATCTACGGTTCTGGAGTGAATTCGAAAAAAAAATGATTCACAAACGTGACTCTATCCTGAAAATATACAGAAAAATTACCGCATCTACAGGAGACATTATACTAAGGGTTGGCAAAGGTTAGTCTTGGGTCGAGATTTCCGTCTGTAAGAAGAGTACAATGCGTTTATAATGTACTGAACAAAGAGAGGACAGTAAACACGTTGACAAACGTATGAAATAAACCGAGAAACTGTGCACATCGCTAAGAGACGTGGAAGGGGATATAGCAGATTTGTCGTAGTTGACCGGTCGACCCAATCAATACCTCTGTCAGTACTTAAAGTTCTAGGGAAAGGTGTACGTCATGCGTTCAGCTTCACGATTTAATTACGTATCGTGATACTTGATTTGTTTATTCATTAACTAGTCGTTGTAATTTTCCCTATAGCTTGAATTTTTTTAAGTGCAAGCTAGAAACACTTGCATTTTTGGTAAAAATAAGTGGAATTGAGTGGGTGTTCGATAGTGGTCGCGGTATTAGAACTCTGAATTCAAAAATCTATTAGAAAATCTATTAGAATCTCGAAATCTATTAGAAATAATAGATTGTAGTTTTTTCAAGAACTTTGTTAATATTTCTGCTGTATTTTCTTTGTAGACAGTATGTGAAAATCTTTACCAATAAAAAAATTACACGATTGCTGAAAATTGCTATGCTCTAAAAGTAAATGAATGGATTGTTTAAAATTTTTGAATGGAAAAAACAATCTTATCGAATTTTTCTTATGTAAACATATTGTATGTTAAGGAAACTTAATATTTTATATAAAATTATTTTCTTTTATGTAATTTCTTAGATTAAGATTAATTATTTTAATTTCTTTAAATTTTAAATTGCCGCACTTATACCTGCTTCCTGCAACATCAGTGTACGCATGCCCGAACACTAGGAAGTGTGGCACACAGTCTATTACAAACCGTCGTACGACGAAATTGGTCAGCTAACCGGTACGCGCCGAAAGTCTGAACTTAAAAAGTTAAATCCCTTCAAAGACGATTTATGTTAGTGTATGTGTGAAAATTAGCGCTGAGAAGATCAAGATCGAAAGAGGGCCCTCTGAAGCTGTCTAGACGACCATTAAAGGTAGGAGCAGGTTTCTCATTTCTCTGTGCGGTTTCTCCCAGCTATTAACGTAATTTACATTGATAAAATAAGACCAGTCAAACTAAAATTTAAAATTAATACAGTCCACAACTGCATTTCTGCACATTTTTGGTCCATACATAGCCGGATTTTATTTTATAATTCTTTTTAATATCAGTTTTCAATTTTGTGATTTAAAATCCATACATTCCACATATACCAAGCCATATAGTTTTTTGGTTCAATTTTTGTACGAGCGCGCAGCGATACAAATACGCACCAATTTACTTGGTGTCGTAGAATTGTACTATCGTATTGTACTGTCACAATTGTACTTAGTACATTTTTTTATATAGTTTCACATTTGTTTATAAACAATATTTTTTACTGATATTAATTCTTGCAGTTTTACCTGAACTCAATTATTATTATTTTAGTTTTAATATTATAATTGCATTTATTCAAAATCAGATATAATATTAAAATATTTTCACTATGTCAGATAAAATTTCTAAGTATGATTTAAAACGAACAACAGCGTTTAACCGTTTAAAAGAAACTTATGACATTGGTGTTGCAATATCTAGTGACAACTCTCAAAAATCGATATTTTTAGCTAGAGTAGAGACTATTGACAAGGTGTATGAAGATTTTATGACTTATCACAATCAAATTATTTCTCTCATATCAGACGAAGATTTTAAAAAATATGATGCTTTACGTATATCAGCTGACAACGCATTCTACGGATCTAAAGCTATAAAATATCAAATTGTAGGTGACAATTCTTTGACAAATAATTCGACCAATGTTTCCACTCCTAAAATTACTGCAAAATTACCGAAAATTACTCTTCCTATATTTGAAGGCGATTTCAAAAGTTGGTCTGGATTTTTTGATCTTTTTAATACTTTAATACATGAAAATTCACAATTGTCAAATGTAGAAAAGTTCCAATATTTACTAACGTCATTGGGTAAAGAACCTCTATCTGTAATTAAAGGACTTCCAGTCACTGAAAATAATTATACAGTTGCTTATACTGCTATTAAAAATCGATATCAAAATAAAAGATTGTTGGCTACTTATCATTATAATGAAATCTGTCAAGCTGGACAGGTCAGAAAAGGAACTTGTACTGAACTTAGAAACCTTTTAAATATTTTTTCCGAAAATATTTCTGCGCTACGCGTTTTGCAATTTCCTGTTACTCATTGGGATTTTCTCTTATTTAATATGTTATTGCAAAAATTAAATGTTTCTATTAGGACTGATTTTGAAGTTCAAAATACTGTCGAAATTCCGACATATTCAGATTTAACACATTTTTTGGAAAATAAATGTAAAGCCTTAGAGTCAGTTCAGTTTACTACTTCATACAATAATGAACATTATAAGGATAAGAGCAAACAATCGTATCAATCCTCTAGTTTTTCATCTAATAAAAAATCTTCAGAAATTAAAACTGGTTATCCAGCCTTTATGACAACAAGTAATAACAATGCCACACCATATCAATCTAATAAGGGGGACAAACTGAAATGTGTACTGTGTTCATCTTCACATGCATTATACAGATGTTTTTCCTTTCTTTCAAAAACACCGCAGGACCGGTTAAACTTTGCTAAACAACACAATTTATGTACAAATTGTTTGTTATCTTCCCATTCTGTACGAAAATGCAATTCTTTTTTAAATGTAAAATTTGTGGATCTCCTCATCACACATTATTGCATCTGGATAAAGCTATAGATAGTTCTTCATCTAATACTCCAGTCAATTCAAATTTCAATCACACTGATGACCGTGCAATCCTAGAGTCAACTCCTGGCCCTTCTGTCAGTGCTATGGCGAGCACGTTATCTACTAAACAATCTACGGTTTTATTATCTACAGCCATTGTCGACATCAAAGATATTCGGGGAAACTTTCAACAAATTCGAATTCTCTTTGACTCCGCTAGCATGGCTAACTTTATTACAGAAAAATGTGTAAATCGTCTTGGATTACCACGTAAACGCTTTTCTATTCCCATTGAAGGACTTAATGGAATGTCAGCGCAAACAAATCAGGGCGTCACACATTGTACGATTAAACCATTAATGATTCTAATCCTCTATTCTCTTTTGATAGTATCATTTTACCGAAAATTTGTTCTGACCAACCTAAGATAAATATAAATCCTTTGTCTTGGACACATATCCAGAATCTTAAATTAGCTGATTATTCATTTCATAAACCAGGTCCTATTGACCTTTTAATTGGTGCTGAATTGGTACCTCATATTCTACGTTCGGGACGGGTTTTAGGTGAACCGGGTCAACCTGTTGCTTTAGAAACAATTTTCGGATATATTCTTCAAGGTATGGCAGTTTCTGACCATGTACCGTTACATAATTCAACTTTGCTAAGCTGCCATACTTCTATTGAAAGTAACTTAGATATTCAGCTTCAAAAATTTTGGGAAGTTGAGGAAATTCCTAAAATTTCTAGCCTGTCTACTGAGGATGTCCAGTGTGAGGAAATTTATAGATCGCTAACTTATAGAGATCAGTCTGGCAGATTCTGTGTACCTCTTCCGTTTAAAATACCGAATCCATTCTTCCGTAATACATGTTATCAAGCTCGTCGACTATTTACATCACTAGAGTTCCGGCTTGCTAAAAATCCAGAGCTTCGTAAAGCTTACTGTGAGTTTATGCAGGATTATCTCAACAATGGACATATGGTATTGATCCCTCCGGAAGACTATAACTCTCCTACAGCTTACTACATACCTCATCATTCTGTTATAAAAAATGAGATATCTGGACCTAAGCTTAGGGTGGTTTTTAATGCTAGTTTTCGAGACACGAATGGAACATCTCTCAATGATTCTTTATTTATAGGACCTAAGTTACAACAGGATATTGCTTCTATTCTTTTAACTTTTAGATTTCATCTATATGTTTTTATTTGTGACATTAAGCAAATGTATAGACAAATTCTTATTCAACCACAATTTCAAAACTTTCAAAGAATCATATGGCGTTTTTCTTCAGATGAACCAATTCAAGAATACAAACTGCTCACAGTGACATACGGGGTATCGTCTGCTCCATATTTAGCTCTTCGAACACTGCAAGAACTTGCTAATCAGGGAGAGTCTCATTTTCCTTTAGCTGCAAAGGCAATAAAGAAAAATATTTATATAGATGACGCAATTTGTGGTGCAAATGATCTAAAATCTGCTCTAAGTTTGCAACACGAACTTGTTGATCTTATGCGTACTGGGGGGTTCGAATTGAGAAAATGGGCAAGTAATCAACCTGATTTGTTAAGCCATATTCCTCCTTCTGATGTACAAATGTCTTGTAGCTTTGACAAAGAAGAACCTTCGTTCATTAAAGTTTTAGGTCTAAAATGGTGTCCAAAATCTGATGAGTTTACTTATTCTTTTAATCCAGTTGATCGCCAATGTACTAAACGGAATATACTTTCCGAAATTAGTAGAATATATGACCCTATTGGTTTTATTTCCCCAGTTATTCTATTAGCAAAATGTCTTCTACAAAAACTCTGGGAATCTAATATATCTTGGGATGAAACTCCTTCTACAGAAATATTGCAGGTCTGGAATAGGTATAAATCCGAACTATCTCAACTAGCTGGAATTAGAATACCTCGACGTGTTATTTCTGATAATATTTTCTTGTATGGAACTGCACGGTTTTCTGTGATGCTTTCCCAAACTGGTTACGCAGCGTCATATATTTTCGGACTATCAATGATAGTGGTCAAGTCAGTACCTTTTTGGTCACTGCTAAGTGTAAAGTGGCTCCATTAAAAATTGTTTCATTGCCTCGTCTAGAGCTCTGTGCAGCTGTTTTATTGGCGGATTTGCTTACTTTTGTTACTACTACTTACGCAGATTATCTCTGTTTTAATTCCATATATGCATGGTCTGATTCGACTGTCGTTTTAGCCTGGTTAGCTGCCAGTCCTCATAAATGGAAAACTTTTGTAGCTAACAGAGTAAGTCATATCCAAGGCAAAGTTTCTAACACTTCCTGGCGTTATGTTCCGTCCAGTGACAATCCTGCAGATTGCGCATCTCGTGGTTTAACTGCATCTCAACTCTTAGAACACAAAATTTGGTGGCGCGGTCCAAACTTTCTTCAACATTGCAACCGAGATGTCTGGCCTGCTCAACCTCATTTAGAAATGTGTGAATCTGTCTACAGTGAAGAAAAACAAACATCTCTCCATGTTTCATTAGAAGAAGATATCATATGCGATCTGCTACACAAGTTTTCTTCGATACGTAAAATTCAAAGAATTTTAGCCTATGTTTTAAGATTTTTCCTTAAATCTAAAGATTCACTGCAAAGTAAAACCTCTTTTATTTCATCTTCTGAAATGCGTAAATCATTGATTTATATTATTCGACATGTTCAACGAAAGACCTTTTCAGACATTATAGATAAAATTCTATCAAATGCTTTACTTCCTAAACCTTTTCGGAAACTCGCACCTTTCTTGGACTCGGAAGGTCTTGTCAGGGTGGGTGGCAGACTTAATAATAGCAACTTCACTTACGATGTAAAACACCCTATATTATTGCCTAAATCACACAGACTTACTGATTTGATTATTGAGTGGATTCATCAAGCAAACCTTCACCCAGGTTTAAAGACATTGCACTGTTTAATCCTTCAACAATTTTGGATACTATCTCCTTCAACAGTTCTATATACAATGTTTAAATCGATGTATTCGTTGCTTTCGCTGTAAACCTAAATCATACAATCCTTATATGGCTGACTTGCCATCGTTACGTATTTCACAATTGAAGGCTTTTTCGTCCATTTGTATTGATTTTGCAGGTCCCTTTTCTCTAACAATGCATCGATACAGAAAAGCCAAGATCTATAAGGGATATGTTTGTGTTTTTGTATGCTCAGCTACCAAAGCAATACATCTTGAAGCTACTTCAGACCTTACTTCTGAGGCTTTTTTGGCCGCTTTTAAGCGTTTTGTTTCGCGTCGTGGCAGATGTTCTTTTACTTCTAGTGATCAAGGTACTAATTTCAAAGGTGCCAGCAACCAAATGCTTCAATTCGCCCAGGTTGCGGCTCAAGTTTTATCCATTACTTGGAAATTTAATCCACCCGGCAGTCCTCACTTTAATGGCCTGGCCGAAGCCGGTGTAAAATCTATGAAATCTCATTTATATCGAACAATCGGCTCTCAGATTTTGACATATGAAGAATTCTCCACTATTCTAACCCAAATTGAAGCAGTGCTGAATTCTCGGCCATTATCGGTTATAAGTGCCGATCCCAATGATTTACAACCATTAACTCCCGGTCACTTTCTGACCTTAGAACCTTTAACAATTGGTTTTCCAGAATCTGATCTGACCTCTATCCCTCTTAATAGATTGTCAAGATGGCAACTAATTCAACGTATGCATACTGATTTTTGGAAACGTTGGTCTCAGGAGTATGTACATTTAATGCAAGAACGGCATAAATGGACCGAACCTACTCCTGAAATAAAATTGAATTCATTAGTTCTGATCAAACATGAAACAAAATCTCCGTTATCTTGGGAATTGGGTAGAGTCATAAAGCTTCATCCCGGAAAAGACAATATTGTTCGTGTAGTTACAACTGCACATGGGATATTACAAAGGCCAGTTGTCAAAATTTGCCCTTTACCTGGCAACTAATAAGGTAAAATAATTCTTTATACATTTTTTTTATTCTTAACTTTGCATTATTATTTCTTTTTTCCTTTATCTTATTTTTAAAAACATATGTTTTGGTGGGTGGAATGTTAAGGAAACTTAATATTTTTTATAAAATTATTTTCTTTTATGTAATTTCTTAGATTAAGATTAATTATTTTAATTTCTTTAAATTTTAAATTGCCGCACTTATACCTGCTTCCTGCAACATTAGTGTACGCATGCCCGAACACTAGGAAGTGTAGCACACAGTCTATTACAAACCGTCGTACGACGAAATTGGTCAGCTAACCGGTACGCGCCGAAAGTCTGAACTTAAAAGTTAAATCCCTTCAAAGACGATTTATGTTAGTGTATGTGTGAAAATTAGCGCTGAGAAGATCAAGATCGAGAAGAGGGCCCTCTGAAGCTGTCTGAGACGACCATTAAAGGTAGGAGCAGGTTTCTCATTTCTCTGTGCGGTTTCTCCCAGCTATTAACGTAATTTTCATTGATAAAATAAGACCAGTCAAACAAAAATTTAAAATTAATACAGTCCACAACTGCATTTCTGCACATTGTAAAATATCTGATCTTGAAAATAAAAAAAAGTTTCAATATCTAAAGTGGTTCTTGAGTTATGACCTGTTATGTGTTAAAAAGTTGAGTTTTTAAATTATCGCGATTACAGACGTTTTCTCCTTATAAAAAAATGACACCCTAACGATATCCTTATAATTCCATTTCAGATGCTCAGAAACATGTCTAATGATTTTATCTAGTTATCTCTTGAGATAAAAGTCTTTTAAAAATAAGCGGTGTGCGATCGTGATTTTACTTTACTTGATAGGGAAAGGCGTATCGGCAACGCCGCAACAGCACACCGTCGCGCGTCGAGTCGTTCGGTCGCATTTCTCTCACTCCGACCTAATAAGATCCCTATGCGATTTACTTCCACACATGTAAATGCCGACCCAAAAGTAACAGTTGCCAGCACAGTATATTAACCTGGTTCGTTGAAATTCCAAAGGATTAAGGTTTTCAAGAAAGAATACAGATATTTGAAATTCTGACCCAGACTTGTGATGCTAAGGACGTCAGAAATTAAAATACCTCTGGTAAAATGACAATCACACCGTCATCGTCAGCACGGTAATATCAATGTTGCCGACTAGAGAAAGTTCAAAGTTACTAAACCAATGTTGGATCAGAAATAGAGAACACTTGCAATAATAGATAAAATACCTTGATAAAGCATATTAAAAATAAGTAACGGATTTTAAAAACGTTACAATACATAGGTTTAGACTTCAAAGTTTTCGCGGGCCAAATTTAAGCAAGGCCAGATTTCGCAGAGGTCAGGCTAACGGCCTGCATATTGGAACTTGCCACATATAGTTCATATCAAATAAACTTTAGTCGCGTGATTAAGCTTGACCACCACAGCGTTGCCTACTTTTACATGTTTCCTTTTAATCAAAATATTTCGGGAAACAAAAATAAATTAATTATAAATATATAAACAGTTATTATTTACATAAAACTTTTTACTCACCTTAACAGCACTTAAGGGACATAAAGGGCCATTACTACCGCTTTCCCGTTCAAAATAGTCTAGCAAAGTTGCGCAGATTTTTTTTACTAAAAGAGGTTCTAAAAAGAACAATGTGCGACTGCTAGTAAACAATTTTAATCTTAAAGTATCACAACACTATTTATTTAAACCAAAAACACTTAATACACAAACTAAAGTGTCAAAACGAATGACAATGTCAGAAAATAAACAAATAAATGTGGTAACTTGGCATTTTTAACAGCAAAGCTAGCACCTGAATCCCCAGCGGGTAATGTAAATTCCAGTTAGTCAGCACTGCGCCGAAAATCTCCATGTTTGGCAACAGTGAATTCAAAATTCGCGCCTTCGATTGCATAACTAAAAGTTTAATTGATATCAAATATACGTATCAGGTATACCCGCACAAATCAGGTTTGCACAACGGCCTGCAGAGTCCGCCGGAACTTCCTACATACATACCAATATACTTGCAAAGACGAGGTTTACACAAGCGGCCTGAGCGATAAATCTAAGCGTCTGCTTTAACCTTTTTTAATCCAAAAACCGAGTGCACAAAAAACTCCCATTCCAATATTTCCAATATTCCAACATTTTAACATAAAATCTTCGATAATATGTATAACATCACAATATAAACCATTTATGTATCTAAGTCGATTCAGCCTGTATAAACATTAAATATTTTTATTCCTCCGATAAATAAATAATTAATGATATTTTAGTACTTCTAAATTGTCAACTGTCAAAACCACCACAGACACCCTATTGCAGTTTATAATATATTAACCAGGCAAACCGTTCAAACATGTATAATAAACACAACAGAAATCCCTATAGACAAATTAATACGTAGTAAACTCGAATTGAAAAGGTAAAGTTAAATATAAATTTCTGCTCAACACAGCCGTTGTTTCCCAGCTCTGCGCTACATGCACAAACGCAATAAACGAATAACTCTATATTTCAATGCTCTATCGATATTCTCCTATTTGCATTTCGTGTAATATCCGTTCGGATCAGGCCACAACCTGAACTAAATTAAATAGCATGTTGACCAAACTTTGGAACGATTACAATATACATAGTTGATTTTTTAGCTTTGCGAAAAAGTAATAAAAATTTTGTTTATTTGACAGAAAACTACTCAACTCTATCACAACATAGCAAAATCGTTATTTAAACTCTAGACGCACATTATACTAGCTATGTTAGTGCCATCATCAGATAATTAAAGCTGTTATGTTGTACTAGTACCCTTTTAACTACTATAAACTACTTTTAACTACTGTAAACTAAAGTAACTAATTAAAATTATTAATTTAATAAAAAAACAATTTTATATAATATAGTAAATAATTTTACTAACAAACCTTTACAGCTATGTTTATTTAATTTTACCGATTTTAGCATATTGATACAAAACATATATTCAGCATCAATAATACAAATGTATGAAATGTTTACTAAATAAACTGACTATTGGTATATGTAATTAAAAACAAATAAAAGTACATCTGAATTGCCTGTTAACGAAAATAATACTAATAATCATACAAAAAAAAGAGGGGTTAAGGTCAAAGTACGTTAAAATTAATATACATACTGTACAGTAATCATCCTGAATTCTTTAGTAATGTGAAAGAGTTGTAAATTAAAAAATTTAAAATAAAAATGTTTTTACGCATCTACTTTTAACTACACGGTTCTTCTTTAGAAAACTCTCCAAAAAAAGTTTCAATAATATATTACTGTTTATTATTTTATTCATAAACTTTTAAATTCTATGAGAAGTACCGTATGATCGAAAAAAAGGCGTCAACAATGGCTATGAAATGAAGATCGCTTTCATTTTATGCGTAATATTATATGGGGAATGTCATCGATGTTCATTTCCAAGCCAACTAGACGCCGTTTTTTTTTCGATGATACGGTAGTTATAGCATGGCAAAATTGTTATTGTATATAACATGTAATATACAAATAAATAAAACAGGCTACATAGAAGGCTATAATGTTAGCCGAAACGTTTGTTTTTTAAAACCAAGTAAAGACACTTAACCAAATGAAAACCTAATCAGCGTTTTTCCCGAACCTAAATCCCAAGAAAATGAAACTTTTTTTTATTTAGAAACAAGGTCCAAGAACTTTTTTCCAAGAATAAATAAAATTATGTAGTACCTATACCTATATACTTTTATGTGAAATGACAGACAATTGGATCTCTATTTTACTTATCATGATTTGTAAAAATCACTTTTAACTATCTAATTGTTTTAAAGAAAATCAGAAAAAAATATAAAATATCTTTGAAAGTACTTGAATTTTTAGTTTTCCGCAAATGAGGTACTAAGGTTCACAAAAGTCCAACTCTCCTCTAGTTTAATCACCTTTGTATCTCTTCTGGTTTACGAGATCCCTATGGTGGGAATTATAATATGGGACACCATGTCCATGCCACATGGGCACACATAGTCCATAAAAATATGAAAATCGCATACCAAAATTCGCTTTATCTATTTGTGGTCGTGGTACCCTTTATTGAAAAGAATGCATTTTTTTCAATATATCTATAACAATCTTTATCGTAGATCTATATCTATAGATCTATGTCTACTTTCCATATTTCTTAATTGCAAAAATGGAATAGTCTAGTGGTTATTAAACGATATTGGAAGAACGGCAATTATTTATTTTTGCAATTATGGTTTAAATAAAATTAAATTTCTAATACAATTACTAATTGGGATCGTCAACGGGTCCGTATTGTGCTAATTATGTCAAGATAAAACAAAATCCCATTTTGTTACGTATTGTTGTTTTGGTAGCTGAACAATATACTACATTATGTGGCAAAATAATCCTTTTGTCGTATATTAAAGGTTTTAGGGAGAGCGCATATTGGTAATTCGATTACCGTAATGCGACCCAGCTTCATTTAAATTTTGTCAGAATATTTGTAACATAAAGTATATCGCATTCAAATGTGAAAATGCAAATATCGCATTCAAATGTGAAAATCAAATATCAAAATAATACTGTATTCAATAACCGTGTACTACGTTTCTAAAAGACAGGGTTTTCTACAATCATGACTTAAGCACAAAAACGAAACTTGCAGTGTACCGAGCAATAATAATTCCCACCATGTTATACGGAAGCAAAACCTGAGTGCCGTACCGGCGCCGTCACATGAATGCATTAAACAAGTTGCAACAGAGACTCCTTAGACAACTCTTAAGAATCCGGTGGTTCCATCATGTCTCAAACGTATCGGTCCTTGAAAAAGCTAACTGCGAAAGTATTGAAGTCATGGTTACAAAATCTCGATTAAGATGGGCGGGTCACGTATGCAGAATGCAAGAAAATCGCATACCTAAATCTCTGCTCTACGGTGAGCTTGTAGACGATAAGAGGTCGGGTGGACAACTGAAAAGGTACAAGGACATTTTCCACGAAAATTTAAAGGGGATTAACATGCAGAATGAGTGGGAAGAAATATCTCACAAGAGAACGCAATGGAAAAGAATTGTAAACTCAGTTCACAGCGACAACCAAAAAGTAAAGAGGCAACAAAGCAATGAGATTTTTGAATGTCCGGAATGCGGTAGGCAGATAACATCACGTATCGGGCTTTTCAGTCACAGAAAAGCTCATGAAAGAAAACGCCTTGCGTGACCATCTTCTGATGCGTGTCGAATACTCGTCAGCGAGTAATCGCAGTATGTATGTATATACTACGTTCCAGAAAATGCTAAAAATTAAGTTGATTTTTGATATTGTCAGTATCTATGTCAAATTTACGTTATTAAGTACTGTCTGAATACTGCAAAATCAAGTAGCTGTGTTAGAAAAGGTTTGTTTTTTTCTTTACAAAGGCATAACATAAATTTAAATAGGCTTAATTTTTGATATTTTCTGTAATAGTTATTGTTACAGAAATAGACAGTCATTTTTTAGAAAAAAAAACATAATTTGTAATTATAAATCTTTTTTTATATTATTACATAGAGTGTACTATTTTAAATGAAATGTCTAATAATTTGTTCTAAGGGATTCACTTATCATGAATTGTCAAAACTATTTTAACAAAAGACATAAACATTTTAGAACATTGGTTTGAGAGAACGTCGTACAACAATTCCAATATATTAAAACAGATGGGAACTCTACTGGTGACTGAATATTTTATCATCAGTAATGTTAAATTTTTAAAATTCAATATTATTGACTGAGAATTTTTGAAATTCAACATTACTGATGGCAGTCGTTTAGTTAAACCAAAAAACGATCTTCACAGAATAAGAACGTAAGGTTAGGTTAGGCACTACATGGCGTTATTTCTAGAATTCTCCAAGCAATGGTGACTTCAATGGTGACTAATTAAATATTTATTATTACTAATCATTATTACTAATTACTAATTAACTCTGGCTTTTTGTCCAAGAAAAAAGTGACAATGACGTAGGTAAAATTGTTATTTTGTCTCTTATTTCAATTAATCTTTAAATATCTGGAAAAATAATTAGATCCTGGTTTTCTATGTCATTGGTTTGGCACACCACCTAGCGGTCAACTGCTGTACATGAAAATAGAATACAGCAATTTCTGGTAACCCAATCTAGCTATAAGTATCTTTTCCCCAAGTTTTAATAGTTTTCCCATAGAAAAAATCCTTATGTCATTAATAAAAATGTCATTATAAATGTCATTAAAATTATATATACCAATAGAAGATTATTTTCTTTTATTTATATATATGTTACGGTTAAAGTCCGATGTCCGGGTAATGTCAACATTAACCGGACATCGGACCTTAACCGTAACATATATACCATGAAGATAAAAGGTATGAAGTTGGCACTGATTTATGGGTTTGTGTCCGCACAAAAAAGTTTTATTAGATAATATTAAAGGTCAATCAACTCAAAAATCATAAAAGGGTTATATAAGTCGATTTAAAAAGTAACGTAGAACTTGTTTGTGAAATCCCAGTTTAATATTTTATATTTAAAAAATATATAATATCTATATTAAAATAAATTTTGTCATTAAAATATTATAGTTAATAATATCTAGAAAAAAATATTGTAACAAAAGTATTTAATTGACTTTGCCACTGCATCTTGTACTTGATAATTATAAAACAGCATAACATTCGAACACACGATTCGCACTTCTGTAAAATAATATTACTAGAGAATAATCTTAAGAACTATTCCAAAAAACAAATTATATAAATTAAAAACTAATTCTCGATAGATTTATTTATAAATAAATATAATTATAAGATGTATTAATTTTCCGCAAAATCCTACTATCAAAAAACATTATGTAACAAAGATATAAATACTGTAACGTTATTTAATTTTCAAAAAATAAAGTATCGAATGCTTTTAAATAATCCAGTAATATTTTAAAATTTATTATGACCAACTAAAACTTATAATTGATTAACTTTTCCTACATCTACCTTGTAGAATTCTAATCAATGTTAGGTTAGGCCGGACTGTTTTCAATATTTAACGAGTCTGCCTCGAGAAAAATCGAAGCGCAAACGACACAAACAACTATTTTTAGCGACAGAATTCGACCTACGGCATCTACATTTTCGACTTACCTGCAGCAAAAAAAGTCACACGGAACCAGAATAGCTTCGGAAATTGTTTAAAACGGGCGACCACCCTTAGAGAAACACGGTAGCCAACTTATCGGCACGAAATACCACCGACAACGTGAACCGGTCGCGTGGCAGGGCGCCTGCGTCTCGCTCGATCTGCGCTCTATCCAGGGTTGGATCTGAAACAAAATAATAATTTAGTACATAATTTGCTACGCTAGTCAATTACATATTTGCCAAGTTAAGTAGTAAGTTTTAAAAAAAGAACACTTTTATGACAAACTTTCATTTCCTTTATTTTCTGATTTACACTGACTGGAATTTAGTTTTCGGGTAAGATTTTTTAGAATCAGGTAGTCAGATTAGCAGTATTTGCACAGAGCATTACGTTTTTAAAGCAGATCTATCTCTAATAATGTCACAAGTTTCCATATTTATTTACTGATATTTTGATTCGTTTCGACAGTTCAGTTTTGTATTATGAATTTTGTTTCTAACCGAATTGTGTTCTGATAAACAATTAAAATGTTTACTAGCAAAAGTTCTTATAATTGTATTGCCTAAAATGCTTAGTTTGGAAGATGTAGAAGTTTCTGTGTTGAAGTTTCATATTTATTTTCGATTTTTTCTAAATAATTTAAGAAGTAGCTTCAATATTTGGATGAAAATTGGTGTCTGGGAGTTTTTTGACATGAGAAATTTCATTTTGATGTCAATATGACTCCTACTTGTAGAGGGCGCCACCTACATATTTTTTAACTGGTTCAAAGAGTAATAACTTTTCGTCCGTACCTGTATAAAATTAGTGATTAAAAAATATAAATTTGCGACATTTTTTACTTAAAAAAGATCTCGTGGTGAAAATCGCTACAAGTAATGGTTCTCGAGATATTTGGAATCGAAATTATCAAGACCTATCTTCAATGACATATGTAGGTAATTAAACATGTTATTTGACTGAAATCATAAATTTGAAATGTTTTTGTGCCAAAAGTTCAACAGAAGCTCTTTTATCATCATTTTTTCGCAGAAAAAATTATAATTAATATAAAAAAAAATAAAAATTTTCCCAATTCATTATTTCACTCAAATAACTATCTACTCAACGTGTTAATTTTTTGTCAATAATGACATGTATTGACTATTTCTATTTTAAATATCTTGAGAACGGTTGCTCGTATCGATTTTTACCAACAGACATTTTTTGCGTAAAAAGTCACGGAAATGTATATTTTTTTACTCAGTAGTTTTATACAGGTACGGACGAAAAGTTGTTACTTTTCAAAACATTTAAAACAAATGTAGGTGGCACCCCTTACAAATAGGAGTCATAAAATAATGTAAATTATTTTATGACTCCTATTAATGTAATAAATGACACCAAAATCAAATTTTTCATGTCAAAAAACCCCAGATACCAATTTTCGTCCAAATATTGATGTTACTTCAGAAATTATTTGGAAAAAATCGAAATAAAAATGAAAATTCTACACCCTGTATCTCCAAAACTAAGCATTTTAGAACACATATTTATAGGAACTTTTTTACTTATTGTTATCTGCAGAATATCCTGCCGAAGTTTCCGGAATACAGTTCGGACCACCCTGTATAGTGAAACAATAGTGAGGAACAAATATGAGGTTCTGAGTAGTAGCCAATAAATAAACTATTGGCAGAGAGCTATATGGATTATTCTGTCTCCAAATTATTTTGAGACTTTTTGAAATGGATACAACTGGACAACGTAATATATAGATAATAAAAGAACTATATTAATAGGTCTGTAAATATAAAATTCAACAAATTCAATACTATTATCTATCAAAAAATAACTTATTATAGGAAACCATACCTTAGAATTAATTAGAAAATCCAATTGGTATTACAGGTGACAGTTAAATACTATCAGAGTTCTAGTTCCTGTGTTATTTGGTAAAAAAGAAATCGTTAGTCAGTGTCATCAATCAATTATTGCGGTATCTTTAAACATATGATTAAAATTGAACAACAGGATTTATATGTATATTATATAATCTGTTTTCATCTAATTACATTCACCCGGCTATGACCATGAGGAAATCGAACTTTGGTAGCCTGCGTTTGATTATCGACCCGAGATTGTTGTATTTTAATTGTTTAATTATCAATGTTATTTAAAAACATATCTGGGGTCGATGTCATGCAGGTAACCGATCTCTTGGGCCTATATCAAATTGGTTTACTCGAATTATATTTTATTTACTAGAATTATATTATTTGTGTTTTTTTCCCAATTTGATCTAAACCCAAGTTGACATCTATTTAAGTCTTGACAATATATTATAAATTTATATGGGAAATATCATCGATCGTCATTTCCTAGCCAACTAGACGCCGTTTTTTTTCGATCATACTATGAGATAGATAGATACCAATAAACTATTAGCAGAGAGAGCACTATGTGAAAGATCAGTCTTCAAATTATAGACAGAGAGTCAGCAAAGAAAAAAGTCTCTGAATTTATTCAGAGAATTTTTTCGGCGCTGCCTCTTAGACTATTACTAGACTTTTAGAAAACTGCATGGCTAGAAAATGTAGTGTAGAGAATAAAAGATCTGTGAAGGTCGCAATGGAATAAACCAATATTCACCTCATAAACTGTAATCTAATTTTTTCAATCGACAATGTATAAAATGTGACAAACTCAGTTTGTCAACCCATCCCTGATGCACGTTTTCGCGAATCGAAGCGGGCGACGTGCGCCCCGTTGCCGTCGTCGCTCCTGCAACTGGCGCCACCTGGCGGATTGCGTCGGAAACTGGCGATAGCGCTCGCCGCCGCCTATCGATTCCTCTACGCTCCGCTCCTATAATTCGGCCCTTTCTCTGATAAATGATCCATAAATTATTCGGGCTTGCCGCTTTTTCGCTTTTCCTCGTCGTGAGGTCTGCGGGTCAATTGACCCGTGCGTCTGGACAAAATTAGTCTTCACGTCATGGCTGTTGACCTATTCCATCGCGACGTACGTAGGTTTATCGTGGTCTTCTACTTATCTCTAGACTACATTCTTCAAGAGTATCCTTTTAAAAAAGTCTAATAACTTGGATACTGAATCTGCCATATAGCTTTTTGTCAATGGTTTATTACGTATTATGTACTAGTACGAAGAATGGCAGATTTTCCAGGGTAATGTTACTGACATAGAGTACGATCTGTTGTTTCTTCTGATTATTGAAAAAGAAAACTAGATATGGCTTCGTCAGTCAATCTCAAAAGCTTTAAGTACCTATTAAACACGCATTGCCTCCATTCAGAGGTGTGACTTATTTAAGATACGAGTATTTGAAATACAGATATAAGATAGAACATACGTATTTTCATGTTATATTTGAAATACCGTTTTTAGTTTCATCTTGTAGCTAGTCTTTTGGTATATTTTTTTAATATCTTAGTATTTTATAAATACCTAGTTTGCAAAAACACTTTTATTAATTATTGCCTGTTCATATTTTTTAATTTATGACATTGAATCGTAATATGGACTAATGTCGCCAGACCAAAAAATATAATACCCTTATTAGGTGTGACGAAATATCATATAACATTAAACCTAAAATAGAACAAAAAAAAGCATTCTAAAAATTACAACATTTTTATTCTTCTGTATCTATCTAGTATTAATGATTGGATTAAAGAAAAGCAAAAAGTCAAAATCATTTAAAGAACATATGAGAGATCTTGCTGAAACACGTAAAATTAATAGGTGTGAAAAACAAAAATTGGACACTTTAAACAACAATGATACGTGTAAAGACACACAAAAGACTAATCTTATACGTTTTTAGAACTCTGATTCCTCTGTTGCAAGTAGCTACAACGTGAGGCAGCACCGCTGATTAGACACTACAATATTTAAGCAATAGTTATTCTAAGATTTACACGATTCTTGGGCATAATTAATATTAATGTAATAAGCTAAATGTTTTCTTTTAAAAATTATTTATTTTAGTAAAAGTATTTAGAAAATACGTTTTATATATCTAGTATTTCAAATACCTTTTCTAAAAGTATTTTGTAACTGATATATCAAATACTTTGCTTAGGAGCAACTTGTAACTTGTATTTCAGATACTTTTTATGAGGTATCTTGTACAGCTTCTCTGCCTCTATTACGGGTTTAAGAGTTTTTTTGTCTTTCCTACTTGTCCTGGTAATGTTTTCACTATTCTACAGATTTCTTATTTTTATTTTTTATTTACTTTTTTTCGCAGCATGGCAGAAAATCCTGGAATGGTATCGATGAACTTTTTTTGGCAATTTCATCTCCCTTTTCATGACCTTTGAATTGTTCGAATGGAGCAAAAGCCTAACGTATAAAAAATACAATTTGACATTGATAAACTCAAAGGATAAACTCATAGGTTGACAACTTAAGGTATGTTGGCATTTACCTGGTTTTGCATTCTTACCCGTTCAGTTTTAATTTAAAAAGAGATTCAGGTTTTCTTAAATTATTTATTGTCTTATTGTTTAAAATTGTTCAAATTTGGCAGGTATAGTCAGCATACGTAAATACCTTTACGAAACCTATGTACGACTTTGCTGCAAAATTATCAGGGGAGCCAATATTTGGACAGTTCAAAATTTGCATGGGATTTCCTATTTTTCCAGCGACCATGCACCACCGGATATAATATTACGCATAATCCATGTAAATACACTAATTTTTATTAAAAAGGATAATCAGCAATTTATTTATTTTAGCAAAATCGTAATCATCAACCTCAGAAACCCCAATGTACTACATTAGAACTTAAACTTGAAAAAAATATTATTCAGGGGTTTTGGTCATATTTTCGAGAAAATTCTCCTGTGTTAGACGTAGGAAGCATAAAGAAAAATATCTCAATCTAACTATAAAAAAACGTTTTTTTTTTCTCTGAAATATAGGGGTATATAAAAACATAATTTTTACCATGAAAATAAGTATTTTCACCCACCGTACGTCGTTCCAAATTACAAAGGGTGCTCGGAACTTTTGCAACCGAATATTTTTTCCTAGGTTAGGAGGTTTAGAAGGGGAGACGATCTGTATGTGTCAGTGGGACACGACGAAACAAGGGCTTACTTTAAATACGTTAAGGGATGCAGGAATGCGGCCTTGTGTTCGACGAAAGACCCCAGTTTTTTTTGCCTGATT